GTAAAAATAGCTGCGCTGAAGCCAATTAAATTTAGCTTTTACAGCCATTTTGAATTTTTATTTGAATTTGGCATTTCTGGGGCACTGTTCTCACTTACCACCACCCCAAATTTTAGCATAATATTTCCAATAATGGCTGATTTATAGTTGGATTCAATGAGAAAAATGGCGAATTACGTCGCCATGGTAACTCCGAACGCCAATGCCAAGCCTGTCATTTTGATATAACATTTGTGGGGGTGCATGTTGCGGTTCGGGCCGCATTAAAGTTGAAGGAAGAGCAAGAGCCTTTTCAGGTGGATAATAAAAAGGTGGCTGCCTTGGCAGTCCCCAATGATACCAAAACAATGACACATTTATAAAACATCAGTTTATCATCCATGTCTAAGACCATTTAAAATGTTTTTTTTTTTTCCTGATGTTGGTGAAATCTTCAAATTTGCACTAAAGTAATAATGTCCCTTTATTGATAACGTAAACAGATTTGTTTTCCCTCAACTGTCTTTACGTAGAAGCTGACATTTCAGCCATTTAAGCCTGTTTCTTGTTTTGCCACCATCTGCTCCATTTAACGCTCTCTCCTGTTCCTTCCTCTTCTTTCTGTGCAGCATGTAAGCGTAAGGAACAGGACCATGGCAGGAGCGAGCGGGGCAGTGTGACCAAGAAGCCCCGGCTGGTGTTCACGGACGTGCAGCGGCGGACGCTCCACGCCATCTTCAAGGAGAACAAGCGTCCGTCCAAGGAGCTGCAGCTCACCATCGCCCAGCAGCTGGGCCTGGAGCTGACCACAGTCAGCAACTTCTTTATGAACGCGCGCCGCCGGAGCCTGGACAAGTGGGTGGACGACGGCTCCGGTCACTCAGCCAACTCCGGGCCCAGCGCCTGCACCAAAGCCTGAAGTGGGACAGAATCTGACCAACTCATGGACTGACTCAACCTCGGTGGAAAAGCTTTAAAAACTCACAGAAATCTTAGAGACCTCAAAGCAACGTTTTGCCCTTAAAACCTGTACTTTATTGATCTTTATAGTATCCAAAGATGAAAAGAAAACAAACCAAAGACTTCTCGTTCGACCTGCTTTAAAACGTTTGTTTCAGCAACACGTTTATGTTTTACGAACTGCAAAGAGACTTTCACTTTCTTACACACACATGCACACACTGTCACCGGTCTTTAGCTTTACTTCTACCCCCACCTCCCCACTGTGTTCCAGTCTATCATTCGCCATCCTTATCTTTAATCTGATTGGTTGGTTCTAATGATGGGTCTCTGAATGGAGGTGTAATCAGCCTGTTGGGAGTCGGATCTGCAGCTGTCCACAGCCTTGAAAAAGAAAGGGGGAACAAAGAAAAAGCAGGGATGAATGTGGAGTTCCTGTGGGATTGGCCAATCAAAAAAAAAATAATAATAATCCTACAGGAGCGACTGGATTGTTCTGAAACGTTGTTCGGATCGGTGCGTGGACGCTGTGTCTGTGTAGTTGTCTGACTTTCTTTCAAGCATTCCACACAGACAGGACAGGAAATGTCCATGGGTGGACTGCTAACCCCATACCTGAGCTAAACCAAGAAGAAAGCTCAGCTTACACAGGTGGTGCTTTCCTCCAACATGCTGAAGTCATGAAAAACAAGAAACCAAAGCGTTCTGCACCCTTCACCTTTACTTTAGGCACGTAAAGCAGCTTTACCAAAGAATATATATTTGATGCTATTTATCTTATCTCTTGTACCTACACACAGGCTGTTGCTGCTCATACAACATTTTTGCCTCATCCAACAAAGTCCAGTCAGGTCATCTGGACAGTTTCATTTGTTGAGACATTTCTTCCTTCGTCCAAAGGACTTCATCAATCCGAGGAGCCACGATAAACTCAGTCCCACAAGCAGCACACTCCCATAGTGGGCCAACCAGTTTGATGGAGATAAGATGGTTTCTGGGGCTCTCTCTCGCTCCCGTCGACTCCTCTGAGGCAAAGTGGTTCAAAACATCAAAGTTCATGTTCAAGAATCCAAGTAAAAAAAAAATTCAACAAAGTTCAGTCAAGTCATCCGGACGGTTTCTTTTTTTGTTGAGACGTTTCGTCCTTCCTGTATATCATAAGATCTTATCACCAGTAAACTGCCTGGTCCACTATGTGAGTGTGCTGCTTGTGGGCAGTGTTGCCAGATAGAGTCGAGGTTTTCCAGCCCAAAAATCTGTTCAAAACCACCATATCACACAAAAATCCGCCAAATCAATATATTGTTACAGTATATTTACTGTTTGAACATGAACACACATCAGTACAAGCTAAGGTACTTTAACAATATGTGGCAAAACGCAACAATCCAACAAAAAACTTCCCAGAGTTCCCAGCAAAATCAGAATTAAAACCGCCCAATCTGGCAACACTGCTTGTGGGACTGAGTTTGTTGTGGCTCCTCGGATTGATGAAGCCCTTTGGATGAAGGACGAAACATCTCAACAACAATAAAAGACACCGTGCAGATGACCTGACTGAACTTTGTTGGATTTGTTGGATGCGTACCTTTTCCTTCCTTGTTAGTCGAAATGCTACATGATCTAAAAGTCTGAGTTGTTTGCCTTAAGGTTGCCTTTTTTGAATCAAGCAGATTATTTCCATTTATTTAACTTCACAATCAGCCGGAATGTTACAACGGGTGCTTGTTGTGTAGCTAAATCGTTGAGCTAAAGCTCTTTTTTTATTCCAAATCTCAAGCAGAGGACAATAATAGACAAATCTGTTCAGCAGTGTGTTTTCCCTGTAGAGGGGAACGCACAAAACGCTTAGTTAGAGGCAGATTGAGCTGTTTTAAAGACAAATCCTATCACCTTCCTGATCACGAGAACTGAGCGTCACTCCATCATCCCCGCCTTTGATTTGATCTCCTCAAAGATGTAGAGCTGAGGAGATGGTGGCAATGATCAAATCACTTTCAGGCGCTTACGCAGCAACGTCAGCTCGTCGCCTGAATACAAAAGCGACCCAGCCGGTCCCCCCCCCCCCCCTCCTCCTCCCCCCCCTCTCCAGGTAAGCTATGCATTTCAGCACTCGGAGGAAAGCACTACACAGAACTGGATGGCATGAGCTTTATTAAAGGTTAGCAGCTCCACTTTCATCACAACAAGCATTGAAGGAGCTGCTGCTTCATCTCTGAGTGAAAAACCAAAAAAAACAGATGAGACCCAAAAAAAAAAAGGAGAAGTTTCAAACCTGCTGATGTTTTTAGCGCGAACCAAAGATGCTACCTCACTCAAGTTCCACAAGTGATTTCTATCACTTTGATGATACCAAAGATAACCAAAGATTTTTTTTCTAATTGCACGGCCTCTGTGTTAAAAGATGCTATGATGTATGTGCCCCCCCCCTCCCTCTCCCCTCCTTTCTTTTTCTTCCTCCGTCAATCAGCCCATGCACCCGCCCGCTCCTGCTATACACGCTCTCGCTTCATTCTGACCACAGCTCTGTATATAGTCATGCTGATGTAGCTCTAGGCCGACGTGCTGCACACGAGCGGCCCTGCAGGAGACGTCTCTCTTCGTGCCTGTTAAGTGTTCGCCGACAACAAGACAAGCAACGTGGAAAAATCGGACGTCACGACAAGCCAAGGATGCGACGCAGTCGTCCCGGAACGGTTTATGTTTTAGTAGCGTTCCATCCGTGCGGCCCTGCCTCCTTTGTGTGTTTTTTTTTTTTTTTTTGTAGTTTATAGAGTGAACAGATGAGTCGGACATCTTCACATGACCGTGCACGGGGCAGAACTCAACTACAGGCAGACATGTTCCTGAAAGTAGAAGCAGAAGTGTTGCAATCTTTCTAAAACTCCCAGGACGAGTGCCTTGCTTGAACCAAAGTGTTAAACCGCCGTTGACCTCTCACCTTTGACTCTGTGTATACCTCAGCCTGTAGAAGGGCCACAACTGAAGAAACAAGGAATTTATTTCTCTCTTCTTTTATTTTAGTCTCGTTTGTTTATAAAATCACAACGTGGTGCTTTCGCCAGCTCGACCATGCAATGAAAACATACCAAAGGAAGTTCTGTTGTCCGCTTCTACAGATTAAACCAAAGGTCTTTGTTTCTCGTTCCTTGTTCTGTCCTTCCTCCGTCCTCCCCCCGTTGTCCCCCTCGCTCTGCCGTGTTGTAGGAAGGCGCTGCACTCTGGCCGTGCATGTCTTTACTATCGTCTCTGAATACCTCATGGTTCCTTTGAGTTCTGCGTTGAGGCGCCTCTCAGCAGCAGAACTCCCATTTCTGTGCGATTTCTTATCGTTGTTCCAAAAAGACGTTTTCGATTATCTATTTCGAGGTTGTTCTTGATTGTGTTTGCTGTTATTTTTGGCAGAAGTGCTCTGTTCCAAGTCACGGAGGACAAAGTTTCAGGGTTGATGTTCGAAACGTTAAGGCATGGAGCGTTTTTTTTTTGTTTTATTTGTTTTGTTTTTTTTTAATCAGACACTTACTTTTACAGGGTAAAACCAACTGCTGTGATGTGTTAAAAAAAAGCTTTGTTTTCTTACGTCCTTGCTGTGATTTATTTTTTTTTTTTATTGAATTTTGTATTGTTTGACAATTTCTTTAATTTAAGTATTTGTAGAAACTCTAGATTTGTACATAGTATGTTGTTTTGTTTTGGGGATTTTTTGGAGGAAAAAAAAAATAACAGGAACAAAAAGACAGGTTTCGTTCAAGCCTTATTTTTCACGCTTCGAGCTAACAGATGAGTTTGTGTTTGTTTTGTTAGTTTTCTTTTCCTTCAGCAAACCCTGGCCGGCATTTCAACGTGTTGTTTGAACACTGCCAACAATCCAGACAATTGATTTTGCCAGAGCCAGCAAAGTCAAAAAGGAGCTACTTTGTTGAACAGCTGGCGTAAAGCAGCGTGTCTGTGTGTGCTTTTCTATTCGTTTATGAAAATAGTTACTTTATGGGTATTGCTGCACATCCAAAGATTTTTAAAACAAACCAAAAAGAAAATCGGAGAAAAAAATGTGTGTGTGTTTTTAAGCACTGGCATTTGTGAAACTACTGAGTTTTTATTTGCCATTCGCACGGGTACAGAATGTGGAAGGCGTAGGCTCTGTAGACAAGCTGACTCTACCGTGTGGGGACTCTCCTGTACAATCTGAAGCATTCGGAAAGTTCAAATGAAGAGAGGGCTGCAAGCCGTGCTCACTTTGCTGTCTCATGCACGGAGCGAGGTGGAGCGGAGGCCGGGCAGCCGGTCTGCCAGGGGCCGTGCCACGGAGCTGGGTCTGTTTTTATCCCCGTGGCTCTCCGCCTTCCTTCCTCCACCTATGTGTCTGTTCTTTCGGTACGGACTCGTGTGATGACTGTAAGCAAAGTCTAATAAAGCTACAAAGAACCTTACCAAGAAGTCCATGTGTGAGTGTGTGTGGGTTCTAACGCTCCGGACTGCTCTTTTGCTTTCATGAGAACCCAGATTTTAGGTTCTGCGGATGTTTGGAAGATTGCATCTGCATGCATTTCTTTCTTCTTTTTTTTTAAGTCAAATGTGCTTGTTCTGCATGTGTGTGGCTGATTGGTGAACATAGAGCAGGGCTATTCAACTGGTGGCCCAGGGGCCAAATCAGGCCCAAGGATTAACTCAGTTCAGCCCACCAGTGGGTTCATTAAAAAAAAGAAGATTTTAAACAATAAAAGCAAACATTTAATGATGATAACTGCTGGATGTCCGGCCCCTGAGCTTTTTCTTTCAGTAACTGTGGCCCCCTGAGCAGTTCCGTTGAACAGCCCTGACATAGAGTTACCAGAGACCCTGCAGCGTTTTCTCTGTCAGCCTGAACGTTAACACCAAAATGTCCAAATTAGACTAAATCAGGTTGTTGTGCTGACATCAAGTATAAGAAGGAGATATATGTTTTAGTTATAAAAGTCT